AAAAAAAAGAAAGTGGGGTCTTCTAACCTGATATATTCTAAGAAAATGGCCCTGGGGCTGGAGAGATGGCTAAGAGGTTAAGAGCACTGGCTGTTCTTCCAAAGGTCCTGAGTTCAATTCCCAGCAACCACATGGTGGCTCACACCATACATAATGAGATCTGGTGCCCTCTTCTGGCCTGCAGGCATACATGCAGACAGAACACTGTATACATAATAAATAAATCTTAAAAAAAAAAATAATAATTCAAAGTCTCTAAGAAAAGAAAATGGCCCTGCTAGGCATTTTAATCTCTTCAGAGACAAAGGCAGGTGGATCTCTATGCGTTCCAGGCCAGCCAGGGCTACAAAACAACCTGTCTCCAAAGAAAAAAGAAAAGAAAATGATCCTGTTCATCTTCCTCAGTGCCTGGAACGCCTCATTCTTTGTGGCACTGCAGTCTCACTCCCTAAGCTTGATGAAAGAGAGGAAGGTAACAGTCACAGAGCAGAAGCAAACTTGAACACACATGGACTCACTGGGGAATTGTGTGACCTGCAGTCTGGAAGGCGAGAACTGCTTTTGTAAAAGATTCCAATACTAGAAGCTGTCAATCCATTGCCCACACTTTCTACAGACTTTTAGACTCAACAACAGCCAGGGCACTGTGGAGCCTAGCAACCCAGCGACTCTGCTCTAACTATGAAGGGTCCAGTCTTTAGATCTTCAGAAACAGAATTCTGAAAGTTCCATTCCTTCCTTCCAAAGAAGACACTGAATGAGCCTCTGGACTGCTGGTACAGTGGGCAATGCTGGAGGGACCTCCCATGACATGGGGTAGGCCAGCCAGGACCTCACAGCCACCACAGCACTGCCAGAGGAAGCTAAGAGAGAGTTTTCAGAGAAGGCGCTCTAAGAGTTGGGTCTATATCCCAGCACTGTCTTTATCATCTAGGTGACCTTGGGCAAGGCCCTTCACCTCTCAGCTCCAATGTCTTCACTGGTAATAGTTATAATGTTACCTATCTTATAGGTGATTAATTTTGTTTAACTAATTAGGACAGTCTCACTACGAAGCCCCAGCTGGCCTGGTACTTGCTATCTAGACAAGTTGGCCTTGAATCACAGAGATCACAGAGATTCACCTGAGTGTGCTGGGATTAAAAGCATTTGCCAGAATACCTGGCTTTGTAGGGTCCCAGAGCTTCTCCGGTGATAGAGCTTCTACAGTGTTGGGCCCACAGTGGGTATAAAAGTGATGGCTTTCATACATCAGGCTTTCATGAGAAGCCTGAGAAGAAGGCTATGAGTCACAGGGCTACTGAGTATAAGAAAACCACTTACAGGGGAAGGCAGCACACTAGGCAGTGAGTGAGAGCGCTTGCCTTTACAGCCTCTCTGATGCCCTGAGTTGGGTGACTGAGTGCAGCCTTCCTGGAATATTTATTCTGAAGACTACTTCCCAATCTCAACTACGTTGTGGGGAACAACCCATATCTAAAGCCGACTGGGAGAACTGAAAGCATTCAAGGGAGCAGTGCCTGAGAGGAAGAGGTTAGTGACTGTCGGGCTGTCTTCACAAACTGCTTTCAGATTAAAGATGAGGCAGGATTTAAGAGTAGGGACTGTGTCATCCATCACATACAAACATACACACACAATCAGATAAATATTTCCACCTCCTTCTCCAGCACATCGTTTCCCTAATTCACTAACTGTGCCAACAACAACCTCAGAGTCTATCAGACACCAGATGCACACAGTTCATTCCAAACGTCCCCATGAGACCAGAGCTAAAAGCACTGATGGGCAAAGAACCCCTTTCTAATAGAGAAGTAGATCAGAAACTCATAGAGGGAAAGTTCCAAGAAATCCCCTAACCAGGGACTGGAAAGATAGCTCAGTAAAACGTTTGCTGTGCAAGCATTAGAACCTGAGTTAGAGACCTAGAGCCCAGGTAGAAGAAGCCAGGCACAATGGCATGCTCTTGTAATTCCAGTGCTGGGCAGGCAAAGGCAGGGAGCCTAGCCAAATGAGACTGTCTTAAAAACAAAGTGGATATGACAACACAAGATTGTCCTCTGGCATGCACACGCACACACACACGCACACGCACACGCACACATGTACACACACACTCCTTATCAGATTATACCATTAAAGAATAATTCTTTTGGCCTCAGGCAAAAGTTGTCGTCGTCGTGGTGCACCCCCACCCCCCCACATATAGCCTTATCTACCTTCTTGTCCTCCAACCCCCTTACCAACTTGACAAAAACTCCAGCTCCTGATGATCCTATTTACCCCTTCTCTGGGCTCCACTCTCTCATCTGGTGCTGGTCTGTATCTTCTTGATGTTGGTCGCCGGTACTACAAGCCAGTGCACTAGCGTTCCCACTGGTCTCCCTATTTTTTTTTTTTCTAGATAGGGTTTCTCTGTGTATCCCTAACTGTCCTAGGCCTCGCTCTCTAGACCAGGCTGGCCTCTTGCCTCTGCCTCCGGGGTGCTAGGATTAAAGGTGTGTGCCACCACTGCCTGGCTTGGTTTCCTATTCTTGATCCCTAGTCTTTCTCCATTCTGAAGCTGGAAGGAAATTCTAAAGCACAAACCTGATCATGTCTCTTTCTGCTTAAAATTTTTCTAAAGCTCCCATTACCCTCAGGATAAGATTCACAGTTGTTAGCCTGGTATTCACAATGATCCTTTCTCACCTCCACACATTCCGGCAACAAAGTTCCCTCCTTCAGGAAGGAAATCGTCTCCAGGATCCAAACTGGATTAAATGTCTCCTCTGAGCCCTGTAGTCCCTGTATCCCCTTTTATCACAGTAAGAATCCCAATTCAGTGGCAAGAGATGGCTCGGTGATTAAGAGAGCTTGCTGCCCTTCCAAAAGACCCCAGGTTGGTTCCCAGCATCCACCTCAGGCAGCTCACAGCCACCTGTAACTCCAGCTCCAGAGGATCTGATGCCCTCTCAGCCTCCATGAGTACCTGAACTTATGTGCACATACCCACACATATAAAAATAAAAATAAAATATTTAAAAAAAAAAAAAAAGAATTCCAACTCACTATATTGGAACTATGTCTAAAGACTGTCTCTTGTATGAATTAGATGCTAAGAGCAAGTGTATATTCATCTCCATGCCTCTGACACACAACTTGTATTCCTGGTCCTTCAGAAAAGACCTCGCGGATTGATCTAGGAGGCAGGAAGTCCATCCTGGTTTCTAGCTACCCTGAGTGGACCCAGGTTGTGGGGCCTAGGGCTGCCAGTAGAGAAACCAAGCTAGAAGATCCCAGAGTTAAGGGATCGTTCCCTTAATCTGAGCTAAAACTACCTGTTACTTATCCTAGCTCCTGGTCTCATACACATCCTTAGTCCCTAGCTTCCTCTCGTCTAGTTTTTCTCCAGTATCTTCCTCATTTTCCTGCCCCATTCTGCCCAGCCCCTCCTTCCCTCCCCCTCCCCCGCATGCCCTCAACATCCTCTGCCCCACTTCTTTTGTATTTTCTGTAATCCTCTTCCAACTCTTAGAGGTGGTGGTGATTCTGCTCTTGGAGTTCCTGCCTCTCATTTCTCAGTAAACTCTGACCTGTCCCACCCCCGACCCTTTGGTTACTTTCCTCTCTCTGATCTTCCTTTTCCTCCTACTCCCTGATTCTTCCCTTACCACTACCTCATAACCTGCCCCTGCCCGGGGTGCTGGGAAGCCTGAAACTCACCCCACAGTCAGTGGCCACCGTGTACTCAAAGTGGAACACCAGAGACCAGATGATGCAGAAGAAGAAGCCGAACAGGGGAAAAGTGATGACCCACCAGACAAAGGCTGTGAAGCGGAGCCGGAACACGGTCCCATCGGGGTCCAAGGGCGCGGAGAACATCCTGTAGGGAGTGGTCCAAGCAAAGCAAGGGACACAACTTGGGGCCCGGGAAAGTGGAGCCTTTTCCAGAGCTGGTACAAGGAAAAGCCAGAACATAAGTAGAAAGGGGGACAGAAAACAACAAGAGATGCGACGGGAATGGCAGAGACAGGCAGGGGCAGTTCCTGGGAACCACGGCACACTGATGCTCTAGTTCCACCTTTTAAAGAGCCTGGACAACAAGCGGACCGCAGGGCCTGAACACTGGAGCTGTGATGGTTTCACTTCACAACCCTCACGGCAACTGAGAAGGACCAGAGGTGGAAAAGTCATTATTCCCATCACACAGAGGAGGAGACAAAGGCCCGGAACTCTGCCAGGATCCAGAGCCTGGACTAAAGCCTTTGGTTATCTAGCAGTTTAAGGCTCTAGATTAAGGACCCTTGGCTCAGCCTAGCTGAGCCCTCCTCCCACTGACCCTGTCTGATCACATTCCTCCTTCTCACCCATGTTCAACCAGGAACAATGAGAGTGTCCTCGGCCCATTCAGCAGAACCACAGGTTACCATTCCACCCCCAGGCTCTGAATGAGCTAAGTCACAGGAGGCAGCACCCTGATCCCATGGAGGACCAATGTCCATCTCTTTCCCCTCTGAGAGGACCAACAATCCAAAATCTGGAGAAATATGAGGGTCTTCGGAACCTTCTCCCTTCAGCTTCAGCTAGTGCACTGAGTCAAAGCCAGGAAGCCTGCATCCAGGGTAAGCACAAGTCCCGGAAGCTGGCCTTTTCCCATTCCTTTCTCCTTCCTGGCAGAGAAGTTCCACCCCACAGCCTCTCTGGCCCTAACCACCATGGTTCCTCCAGCTGGGCTCCATTTGGGGCAAGCTAAGGCAAACAGAGATGGATTTGGATTAAAAGGCCTAGGACCAACTCTTTCCCTGGACCCCACACTTCCTCCCATTAAGGAGGAAGCGGACCCTAGTCTACCAGACTAGCTCTTCATCAGGAATAGGGTGGAATGGGAGGCTGGTCAGGAAACACTTACACGGGGTGCTGAAGAATCCTGGGCTGGGATTGAGGGCTCCAGCCAGACTGAAACTGCTTCAAACCAGAGGGTCCCACCCCCAGGTCCTCAGGGCCTGCCTTCCGCCCACAAAACCAAGTTCTCCACGCCTGCCCAGGCACACAGCCTTCTCCGAATCAACAAGGCCACCTCATAAATCCCAGAACACTGTGCAACTGTAAGACGTGATAGTGACTAAGGTCAGCCCACGAGCTTCTCTGCCAGGCATGAAGGCGCAGATCTTTCTAAATACTCTGTTCCAGGGAGACAAGTGCCTTTCTAGAAAGGGTGAAAGAGAAAGAAGAATGGGGTCCAGCTCCTTCTGATGGAAACATGACTGGGAATCTCTTTTTTGCTCCACTAAGAGAGCTGACTACTCCTGCACAAAGAGAATCAAGAGGCCAGAGGGGTGGCCGAGGGGTACAAGCACTTGTCATGCCGCCTGATGATCCGAGTTAGATCCCCAGAACTCACAGAAAGGTAGAAGAGGAGAACTGACTCTCAGAGTTATCCTGACTGCCACACCTGTGCCACGGGACATGTGTGCACAATTACATGTGCTTGAGCGCGAGCACACACACACACACACACACACACACACACACACACACACACACACACACACACAGAGTTCCATCCTGTACCTGTACAGAAATAGCTAATGATAGCTTGGGCTTTGTCAACAGAAGTCTGATAGAAACAGGAATAAACAGTATTACGTGTGCCTGTATTTCCCAGGTCAGCTGAAGTCCTATTATCCAGATTTGGGCCCAATAAAGACAACACAGTTACCAACTGGATTGAGTCCAAGGACATATTTAGGGTTGTAAGGAGCCTATAGACCCTATTCTGGGAGGAGGGTTCCCTGCAAAAATTGGAGCTCTTCTACTGGGACAGACTCAGGCGTCTCCATTCCTGTCTTCCCATCTCTGCGGGACTGATGGAGTGCCAAGAGGAGAGCATGGCGCTATGGTTATCACAGCAGAGCCAAGGCCAGGACAGACATTTGGGGGGGAAATCTATCAACCAAGCATGGTAGTGCACGCCTTTAATCCCAGCACTTGGGAGGCTGAGGCAGGTGGATCTCTATAAATTCAAGGCCACCCTGTTCTATAGCAAGTTCTAGGCCAGCAAGAACTGTATAGTGAGATCCTGTCTCAAAAAAAATCACCCCCTCCAAATCTATGCTTATTATTAAAAAAAAAAAAAAAAAAAAAGTGTGCTCATTGTCAGTTACTAAACCTCTGTAGAATAGGTTACCTAAAGAAGGGAGCTCCACCAGGCAGTGGTGGTGCATACCTTTAATCCTAGCACTAGGAAGGCAGAGGCAGATGGATCTCTGTGAGTTCGAGGCCAGCCTGTTCTACAGAGTGAGTTCCAGGACAGGCTCCAAAGCTACACACACACATGAAAAAGGGAGCTCCTTGTTACTTGGGATGTGTAAGCAGAGGCGACATCATTGGTGCTCCTCGAGGTTACTTATTTTATTCCTAGGGTTGGCCCTTCCTGAGATATTCTGGATAAGAAATTCAAAGCATAAATGAAAAGCTTCAATATCCAACTGAAGAGTTCCAGGGAGTGGGGGTGGAATATTCCCAGGGTCACTAAGCAAGTAACTACCCATGCTTTAGTTCCCTAGCTGGTATGCCAAGAGTGGGTAGTGGGTATCAGGTAGGCTGAGGTCACTGGTCCCGTTAGCCCTCAGGGCCAGTCGGAAGGGCAGAGCAAACAGCCTACTCAGTTTGACTTATAAGCTGTAAAACCTCTTTAATTTTGTTTGGACTATCTGCCTTTCCCAACCACTAGACTGGGAAGTCCTATCCTTTTACCCAACAAAAACTTTCTGACTCAGTGCGGTGCTTGTTCTCATGGAGATCCCAGTATGGTGAAGAAGACAGATACAGATATGGTAGAAAAGAAATGTAGGTAATTAACACCAAGAATAGCGGGCACTTAGAAGAAGGAATTAAGTTTGCCTCAAAGAGGCTAGGCAAGGTGTTCTAGAGGAGGAAACACCTTGGAAAGGATTTTCAGGACAGACAGGAGTTAGGTAATGGGAACACATCTTAGGTAAACACTAAGGCAGGAAATGATCTTAGATCACCTAGCTCAGTGGTTCTCAACCTTCCCAATGCTGTGACCCTTCAATACAGTTCCTCAGGTTGTGGTGACCCCAACCATAAAATTATTTCTTTGCTACTTCATAACTGTAATTTTGCTACTGTTACAAATCATAACATAAATATCTGACTTGCAGGATATCTGATATGTAACCCCTGTGGGAGTCACGACCCACAGGTGGAGAACCACTAACCTGGCTACTTTCTTTTCTCCTACTCCCGTTCCCTCCATTTACTTTTTACTTATTTATTGGAGGGTGGAGTGAGACAGTCTCACTCTTGAGCCCAGGTTGTCCTTGATTTCAAGTGAATCCATTTCCTGCTTCAGCCTCTCTACTGCTGGGATTAGACATGAGCCACCATCTCTTGCTTCCCTATCCCCTCAGATATCTCTCATCAGACCGTGTGCCCTCGTTCAAGGCTCATCTCCTCAAATCAGGAAAAAAAAAAAATTCAAGTCATATTGAACAAAAGAAGTGAGCCCTCACCTCAAACTCCCAGACCGGATCCTCTGCTAGACCCAGACCACGTATGGAGCAGGTGGCTTTCATAGAAGAGTGAGGATCAAATAGAGGAAGCTGGTGGGGTCTTCAGAGCCCTCTCTAACATTAGTTAAGCTCCATGCCCAGGCTCATCTCCTGACCCACCTCCTAACCTTATGATCTCTTTCTTCCTTCTCCTTCTCTTCCTCCTCCTGTTTCCCACCCTTGGCACTCCCCAACCCACCTTCCCACGCTGTCTCTACCCGGACGGAGCTCTATACCAGCCTTGGAAAGGAGAAGGGCAGGCATCATCAACCTCTCTATGGACACAGAAACTAAAACTCACTCCCTGGGTCTCAGGTAGCACTGTAGGTCAGAGAATAAGTATAACAGATGTCAACACAGTCTTCACCTATTTATTCTGATATTTTACGGAGGAAGAAACTCTCAAATCTCTCTTTATAGCTTAAGCACCCTCAGAGGGCATGGGACCTACCCTAGAACACATATTCATGCACATAACTAGGTCTCCACACAGACAGACTGACATTCTCTCACACACACAATCCTACTTAAAGCCATTAAATATAGGTATGTCTCTCACAATCACAAACAGACACATACATGCACAAAATTGCATTCCTATGAACACAGGCATAAGCCCATAGTAACACACTGTGAGACCTACAATGTCCTCTATTCCAGTCCTAATCTCCCCTCACCCTCCAGGAAACCTTGGAGCTCCTGAATCTGCTCCTCTATGAAGCAGTGATTGGATTCTGGGTTTTTATTTCTTTGTTTGTTTTTAAGGCAGTGACGCTCTATATAACCCTGACTGGCCTGGAACTCACTATGTAGATCAGGCTGGCCTCAGAGATCCACCTGCCTCTGCCTCCCAAGTGTTGGGATTAAAGGTATGGACTTCCAGACCTGGCCCAGGTTCTGGGTCTGGGGACTGCCCAACTTTAGTGATCCCAGTTCCTAGAACCTTCCTGGAAAGTAGAAGGGACCTAACTCATGAGACCTCAATTTACAAGCAACCCACCACCACCCAGTAAGCCCAGTATAGTTGATGGCGTCCACAGGAGAACTGGCTAATTCCATTAATATCAAATCGGGATCTCAGAAAAGATCCAGACGGGTCTGAACACGAGCCACCAGTGCCCGCCAAGCCCTACCCCACAGTGTGTAGACGTTGTCTCTTTGAAGTGGAAGAGCAGGGACCAAAGGATGCAGAAGAAGAAGGCGACGAGTGGACAGCAAACCGTGACTAGGGCCACCATGGTGAAGCGGAGCCGGACTAGGGTCCCATCCCGGTCCAGCGTCAGTGGGACCTGGTACATCTTGTCAGACCTGAGGATGGAGGGCATGCTGTCAGGGTCCCAGGCAGCAGGACTGGGGGCCCAGAGGTAACACCAGCGCTCATGCTCAATCTGAAACTTAGCTACGCTATGGGGTAGGAGTGTGAAGAGACTCCTAAACCCTTACAGTTCCGGTCCTGGATAAGGAAGACTGACTCAGAATCCCACAGCAGCACTCCACTTCAGTTTCTGAGGGGAGAGGCTGAACTTCATCGATACCAAGATAAAGCTTGAAACAGCATGCACAGCCTTCTCCTCAACCTTCTGCCTGGCTAGACAGGCCTTAGACTACAGCAGTTGATTTAGCTAGTCTTTCATTAGTTCAAGAACCAAACTTAAAACCAACTGGTAAATAGACTGACCCATGTCTCCCCACCCCCACTCGCACCCCCAAGCCTCTGCCCCAGCCTCTTGGTTCATGGCCTCTCAGTTCTCACTGCTTCTCTCACCGGTGCGGGCCCTGCTGCACTTTCAGGCCCTTCCCAGACTCTGGGGTGCTCTATGCAGCCACAGCAATCCAGTGCAGCAGGGACTCCCTGGAAGCTGACAGAACCTCCGTCCCATGATTATCCCTGCCTGCTGCCTCATGTGCTCTAAGGGTGAAAGGTTTTGCAGAATCAGGCCGGGTGATAGCCTGGTCTTGCTGTGTATAGGTCAGAACTGCTTGGTCAGCTTCTGGTGGCTTCCCAGTACCCAGTGCCTCCTGAGATGAGGTGAAGGTTCTTGAAAACTGATTTTTCCCTCAGACAAGAGTTTCTGCCAGGCTGTAGTGGCATGTGCCTTTTGTCCCATCCCTCTGCCTTTGGGAGGCAGAGGCAGGCGGATCTCTGTGAGTTCAAGACCAGCCTGGTCTACAGAGCAAGTTCTAGGACAGTCAGGGCTCTGTAACACGGAGAAGCCCTGTCTCAAGAAACAAAGAAGCAAAAAAAAAAAAAAAGAGTTTCTAAGGTGAGGCACTGTAAGAGCTAAGTACACACTAACAACCTAGCCCAACCCCTCTCGGTGTAGAGAAGAGAAGCTGAAGCAGGATTTTACTCAGGGTCAGCAGGAAGGAAATGGCGGGTCCATAAAGAGCCATATATTTCAACTCTGACTTTTTAATCCCTTTCTCTCTGCACCCATACTCTAGATGGGAAGGTCAGGTTAGGACTGGAGTGAGCAAAGAACAAAAGAAAACAAATCTGCCTGGCATGGTGGTGCACATCTTTAATCCCAGCACTTGAGGAGCAGAGGCAAACGGATCTCTGGAAGCCAGCCTGGTCTACATAGCAAGTTCCAGAAGAGCCAGGGCTACACAGAGAAACCCTGTCTCAAAAAACAAAACAAAACAAATACTTCTTCATACTACATAAAAGAGCCAGTCTCCCTGTTCCCATTGTAAAGATGGAGAAACCAGGAGGCAGAGAATCTCTTCCTCAAGGCTGAGCCTGGGGAACAGTCATTCCCAGAGTTTAGGTTTCTTGGTGCCAAGCCTATAGCTGGCTCCAGATACATAAAAAACCGGCCCTTCTGGTCTCAAGCCATGACTCTTTCTGGCCCCACCCTTAAGCAGAACTCTGCTCTCAGGCTGGCCTCCTAGCATTCCAGAAACAGGTGGGCACACCTCCGTA